GGGGGAGCGGTGGGGGGGCTGGCACCAGCACCTCAAAGCCCACTGCCTTGGAGGGGGGCACGATGCTGACCGAGACATTGCCCAGGCTGGAGGAGTTGTGGCGGAAGTAGACGCTGAAGGTTCCATTGATGTGGTCAACGATCTTCCCTGTCACCAGCAGGCTGAACTTCAGTGTCTTGATATTGAAGTAGAAGTCACCCCAGCCGAAGATCTTCTTGGTGCGGCCGGACTTGAGCGAGGGCTTGCGCCGGGCGCGGGGACTCGGCAGGTCCCCAGCCGTGTGGTTCTTCTGCCAGTCCCAGGGGCTCCGCGCAGCACCTGAGGGTGTCCCCGTGCCCTGGGGGGGCTCAGCTGGAATCAGCCGCCCAGGGTCAAGCATGGGGGGCTTCAGGGTGCCGTAGGGGACATCCTTGAGGAGGCCGGAGGTGCCCAGCTCCAGGTACCCCAGGGTCTTGGCAATGTGGCTCCCAGCACACACCGTCTGGGGGAAAGAGGGCAGAGACTGCACAAGCTGTGCCTGTCACCCCCTCGCTCATCATTCTGCCTGCTGCCCCTCACTCATCCTCCTGCCTGTCTCCATGTGCCCTACTATGTCTGTGTACCCCTCCTGCAGCCCTGCATCCCTTCTGTGGCCATGCACCTCCGGCACCACAAGTCCCTTTAGCACCGTGCCACCCCTGTCCGCCGTGCCCCCAGCTGTGCATGGCTGCACTCTGCCCATGCCACCCCCCCATCCCTGCTCAGCCCTGCACAGGCCTGTCCCAGACACACCCCAGGAGCCAGAGCTGCTGCTCCAGCATTGTCCATGTCCCTGTGACAGGAAGAAGCAGGATGCTGGACAATTCATGACTGCCTGCCCCACCACAGCTGAGGCCCATTAAAATGCAGAGGGGTGGTGGGCAGCAGTGTGTACAGAGCTGGGGAGGCATCAGAGCCCCATGCTGCCTGCCAGGGAAGCCTAATTGCATTACCCAGTGCCTCTGATCTGCAGCTGAAATTACAGAGACCCCTGCCAGGCTGCACGGCAGCCGCTCCGCCCTCCAGGATAATTGCACCGGGCGAACATGGCTGAAGAGTAGGGTGCATTGTGTGCAGGGGGGGGCACACAAGGAATGAGAGGGGACCCCTTGCTGTGCTGGGAACAGGGGGCCCTATGGTCACTTGGTGCATTCTTGTGAGGGAGGGAATTTGCAGCAAAAGCAGAAAAGATGGGCAGCGGAGGGGAGGAAAATGCCAGACAGCTGCAAGGTCCCTGCATCGGCATGGGGACACATCATCCAACACAGAGCCAGGAGACCTTGGCAAGGGCTCTCACAGGGTGAGGAGAGGCAGCTCCTCTCCCAGTAGGGCAAATCGAGGCAGGGAGCTGTGATGGAGACCAGCTGCCTGGTCTCTCCCACCTTGCAGGGCCGGTTAAGGAGGCACTGATGAGCACTGGCACACCAGGACCCTCTGGAGATGCAGCCAGCACTGGGGTGTCACACGCCAGCGCCCAGACACATCAGTCAAGAAAGGGAGCCCGCCAGGCACCAGGTGGGATGGGACCACAGTGTCCCCTTCCTGAGGTTCCCCATGGCCATGGCTCTGCCCATCCGGCTGCTGGGACCGACATCGTGTGGCTTGGCAGCGGTGAGCAGAGCCAGCTGGCACCTCTTCAGCCCTGGGACCCAGTCTCTGATGTGTCCCATGTCCCTCACCTGCCCCCCCGCTTCCCCATCCCTCAGCCCGGCTGCTCCTGGCTCTGCACCCCTGTGCCCCCGCCTGCCCTGCCAGCTGCTCCCGGCACGCAGGATGCTGCTCCGTCAGCCCCGGCCTCGTCAATCACTGTCGCCCGTGAGCTGGCAGGTGCTCTGGCAGTTTTTGCTCTGGACGACCTGTTTCCCGAGGGGGACGTGGGGAGGAGGGGAGCGGGGAAGGAGGGCGGCGAGCAGAGGCACCAGCTGGATTGGGCGGGGGGGGCTGTGCTCCCATAGGAAACTGAGGCGCTTGTTTCCCCCTCGGAGCTCAGTGTGCTCTTCCTATGGCCCCCATCAGAGAGGGGTGAGCCCCCCGGGCCCCCTCCTCTGTGGCCCGGCAGGTCTGTGTGTGGGGACTGGTCTCTGCTGGGCACCCACCAGGGATGGAGCAGCACCACGGAGGGCTGCCGCGGCCACAGGTCCCCACGCTTGCCCCGATCCTCTCTGGCTGCTGAGCTGGAGTCTCTGGCCAGGCTGCGCACTGCTGTCTCCAGGATCTATTGCCTTATCCCCCTAATGCTGCGTGTGCCGGGCTGAGCCTGTAAATCTGCTCTGGCATGTGCTCGCTCTCGCCTGTGCCGCACCAGCAGAGGAGTCAGCCCGGGCTGCTGCTGCCGGCACCGGCCATTCTGCCCTAGGGCTCTGCTTCTGCCCGGGGAACTGGCTGGGCTGCCTGGCCCCTGGCCCGTCTGCAGGGGAGGACAATTTGTGGGGTCTCAGCCCAGCTTGGGGAGGTGGGGGACAGGGGGCTGTGCAGTGCGAAGCTGCGGCTGAGCATCCCCGCAGCCCCCCGCTTCGGTCTGGCCGTCCCCCAGCTCCCTCCCCAATCTCTCTTTGAGCGCGGCTGCTGCCTTCGCCCTTATCTATATTTCAACGCAGCTTCAAAGCCGGGTGCCTTCACCAGCCAGAGAGAGAGGGAGCGAGCGCGGCAGGACCGTGAGATGGAGAGATAAATGGGGGAGGGGGAGAAGGGCAGCCCCTCAGCACCCCCCCTCCAGCCAGAAGAGTGGTGTTTTGTGGCAGGGCGGAGGTGGTGGTCCCGGAGAGACACGCTGCTCCCCCTCCACCCCAGCTATGCTCCGTCGTTAATCCCACTCCTACATATTCATCAGCCCGGGAGCCCCCTGTGTCCCACTGTGGGGAGGCAGTGGGCCTCCCTTGCCAGAAGATGAGCACACATGGGCAAGGGGCACTGGTAATCCCACAGCTGGAAGGGGAGCCCCCAAAACCCGCCTGCACCCACGGAGAGGGGACAGGGGGCAGCACGGAGACTGCAGCCCACGGGGGAACACACACATGTGAGCACATGCCGCCCAAGCCCCCACCAGCCCAGAAAAGATTTCTGGAGGTTTCTCAGCTCTGCGCTGGCTTTCCATCTCAGCTAGGGCCGAAAGCCAGGACGAGTGGTTCCCCCCAGCAGTGCTACATGAGCCACCACAGCCCTCCTCCCTCTGCCTCAGTTTCCCTTTCCAGTTCACCCCCCACCCCATGATCCCTTGCTAGTGGTGAGGGGGATGCAGTGGAGATGGGTATGTGATGGGAACAGGCCTGTGATGGGAAACTGATGGAGACAGAGATGCAGTAGGGACAGGGAAGTGACAGGGGCAGGCACTGGAGAGGGGACGCAGTTGGAAACAATGGGGATGGGCATGTACTGGGGAAGGAGGTGCTGACACCAGCTCCCTGCATTAACTGAGGACTGCGGGTCCCCAAGCCGGGCTTGTGCAGGAGGATGGGGCAGGATGAGGCCAGGGGCTGTGGGCACGGACTGGGCATGGGCATGGGCAGGACACGGCAGGGCACTCCTGGGGGAAAGAGGCCCCTATCCCTGCAGGGAGAGAGGTGCCCTCCAGCCCCTCAGGGAGAGGGGCCAGGCTGGCAGCCTCGCCCCCACCCCCAGGTCCCTCCCCAGGAGCTGCTGGGGGAGCGGGGGATGAAAGGGAATTGCAGAGCAGGGCAGCGACTGCCGATGCAGCCAGGGCTATCGATTGCGGCACAAGCGCAGTCCGAGGCCGTGGGCAGCACGGGGGCGTGGGGGAGACCCTCGCTACTCGCAGCCCCTGGTGCAGCCCCAGGAGGATGGCTTTCTCTGGTCGGTTGGGGGTCTCAGAGCCTGTGGGCAAGAGCTGTGGCAGAATGGGGCCACAGCAAGCCTCTTCCGCGACAGCACTGAGGGGAGCCAAGGTCACCCCCCTGCACCCTGCCACCGCTGTCGGCATTCAGGGCAGGTCTCACCCACACCTCGCGTTAAATATTAATGTTTCTGCTTGTGAGTGGTTGGGGTGCAGCATGAACACACTTGCATGTGAATCTCTCGGACAGGCTTCACAGGCACACATGGGAGTCCCAGTGCCTCCTGGCCCTGCATGGGTGCTTGCAGAGCCCCTTCCCTCCCTGGCCACGCCAGGATCTGTCTGTCCCCTGTGCCAGAGGAGGGCCATGCCTGGCTCCACTGCGTGCTGGGCTCTGGCTGTGATGCACCATTCATGTGTGTTTGTCTGGTACACTTGTTTTTTGCTGTTACACATGCATGCGCTGCTGCATCTACACATTACCCCAAGATGATATGGTTTTTGCTGCTCTCAAGCCCCTTGTGCACTTTTCTGTGCGTGTGTGGGGCTGTGCAGGGCTGCCATGCATCTCCAGGCACCCGTGTGTCACTCCGTGTGTGCGCAAGCAGTGAGGCAAGGATGCAGGAAGGGCTGGGGGTGGCTGCGGAGGGACTGGGAAGGCTCTCGGTGCCGGCATCAATTTGGCTTGTCAGGACCAGCAGTGATGGCCACTCACATCCCATTTGCTGGCAGGGCCAAGCGCCGTCAGCTGCTCCCCTGAGACCCACGGTCACCTTGGTGGAGGGGAGCGGATCTGTGTGGGGAAGGGTGGGGTGGACTGGCTGCCCCAGTATGGGCTGTGATGAGCTCCCAGCACCCTGAGAACAGGGCCATGACTGATGCGGTACCATCTCAAGGCAAAACAGCCCCCACCTGCGCCAGGAGCAGAGTACCCACGACAACCCTTACCAAAGACCCTGTCCCTACAGCCAGCCTGTCCCCTGCATCCAGCTTGGAGCTGTTCCCCTGCCTTGGTGGGGGGTCAGTGGCAGAGCAGGTGTCGATCTGCTGATGGGGGTCTCCAGCTCTCCCCATGGGCGCAGGGTCAAGCTGGTCTCTCCCCTGTCACCCCGCTGCCTTCGTTAGTGCAAAGAGATTAATTGGAGGTGGTGAGCGACAATCCCCGCGGGCCCGCTCCCCCTGGTGCAGCGCAGCCCCGGGCGGTGTGGCATTTCCAAAGGTTAGCAGCAAACAAGGTGCCTCTGACAGCTCCCATTTATCTCGCTGGCGCCGCGCGGGTGCTAATGCGGTGGCAGGGTGACGTGGTGCAGCGGTGGGCTCTGCTGGGCTGCAGGGAGGGACCCAAGCACGCGCCTGAGCGTGCCGAGGCGTGCAATGCACGTCTGAACAACTGCATGTGGGAGAGCGCACACAGTGAGCTCTGAGTGTGCGTGCTCCCGTGTCCATGTGCGAGCGTGTGCACCAAGATCACCCGGTGCCCACCCAGCCCACTGTGCACCTGCCGCAAGCGTGCAGGTGAATGCAATAAATGCCTGCTGTTGCTTGTGTACACACGTGCCACTCTGCATGCAGCTGATTGTGCACGAATGCCTTCACACATCCTGCACGCTCCTGTGAGAACATCTGTGTGCATATATGCAAGGTTACACATGCACACATGAAGTGAGATGGCT